CAAGGACTTGAGAAAAGAGAATAATCCCACTTAAATTAAATGAAATGTGTGTTTACAAAATGAATAGGCCTAGCCTATTTATAGTTTTTGAAGAGATATGGCCGAATGGAAACATAATGGTTCGACCAGCCCTTGTGTCTCTCTAAAATGACAATTAATTGAATAATTAATATGAAAACATAAGTGTTGGTTCAGTTGGCATGAGAAGTCTTAATCCTTGGCCTAATAATGCTTAAACCCTTTCAATTTGGCGCCAAAGTGAAGGGATATTTTCCTTGGCCGAATGGTGAAGTCCTTTAGTATTTGGTGCGCATAGGAGGGTCACATGTATGGAACATACTTGCTGATGACATAGGCATGCACATGAGGATCTAGGGATGCTTGTGGTGCATCCTTATGTATGGATTGAAGATTGGTGATGTGCATCTCCTTGGGTGTGTGTGAGTCATCCTCTAAGCTAGCATAGGCATGCATGTAACTAGCAAGCAAGTGAGTTGTTTGTTGTTCCAGCCGAGTTCTCCTTGGTTACTTAGCATCTCTTATAGCTACTTTCAGCTGGTCACTTGGTCAAGTATATCAACTTAGCTTCAAATAGTCCACCTAACTGAGTTTAGCTAGCCTTGAGCTCCTCAAGCTGACTTGATCTTCCCTTAGTGTTCCATGAGTTGCCATGATGTTTGTGAGCTAATTGTGAGATGCATATGGATCCCAAATACTCCAACAAACTACCATAATGTGTGTCATGCTTCAATGTACCTACATGTGCAAAGAAAATAAGGTAAATCAAAGGCATCGAGCTTGTATGATCCTTGTGAGCTATGAATGCATGTCATGAGCTAAGTACATAATGATGTAACATATGTAAGCTAATGTATAAGTCTTAGGAGCTAAAATGAATGTACATGAGCTAATAAATGAATAATTAAACATACTACCATTTCATGAATGTAATGAATCATTTTTAATGAATGCAAGACTAGTCTAACATACTTAACATACTTGAAATAACAATGTGCATCAATTATAAAGATGTGAATATGCTAAGTTACTTTACTCATTAAATCACATAACTAACAACCTTAGCATGATATGTATGATTATTTCATAGGTGATCATAATGATATAAAATAAGTAAATTATTAAGATGTTCAAGAATACTCCCTTTGCATGTGGTGAAAACGTGCTTGCATCAGATGAGGAAAAAAATAAAGTTAAAAAGAAGAAAAATGTTGGTGTTTCTCTCAAGTCTATAAAAGAAGATAGTGACTCAAATGAAGATGATGAATATGAAGAAATATCAATGTTTGCCAAAATATTCAAAAGATTCATGAGGTCCAAGAAAGGAAAGAGATTTCAAAGAAAAGATGGCTTCAAAAATAAACCCAAGGATAATGATCCTATTATTGCTATGAGTGCAAAAAACCCGGGCATGTGAAGTTTGAATGCCCACAATTGAAGAATAAAGGATCATCCAAGAAGAAAAACAAGACATATGCAGCTACATGGAGTGATGATGAGTCCTCCAATGATGAAGAGGAAGAAGTATCCAACTTGTGTCTCATGGCCATAGAGTATGATTCTAAGGTGGATCATTGCTACAAGGCATAATGCAAAAGTTCAAATTCATTGTACCTTCATAGTGAATGCTCAAGACACATGATCGGTGATAAGAGCATGTTTTTGGAGCATAAAGCTAAAAATGGAGTAGTAACCTTTGGTCACAACAAATGGTCACATTGAAGGAATTGGTTCTATTGGTAACAACTTTTCCATACATATTGAAAATTTTTGTATGATAATGGGTTAAATCATAATCTGCTTAGTATTAGTCAATTATGTGATAAGGGATACAATGTCTTATTTGAGTCTAATGGTTGCAAAATTATTGACATTGTTTTTAATAAGATTATGCTTGTTGGTCATATGATATGAAATATCTAGATGGTGCATTTAGATAATATTTATATTTCAAATGCTTGTTTAGTTGCTAAGAATGGGCAAGATTATTGGTATGGCATAGGAAACTTGGACATGCTAGCATGAGTGTTTTACAAAAAACTTATTCAAGGTAATCTAGTAAGAGGTTTGCTTAAGATAAAATTTGATCTTGATAAAATTTATGATGCATGTGCTAAGGGCAAACACAAAAGATCTTATTTTAAACCTATTTATGATGCATGTGCTAAGGGCAAACACAAAAGATCTTATTTTAAACCTATTAGTGATGTATCATCTAGTAGAGTACTACAATTTGCCAAAGTATTTTTGGGTGGAAGCCACAAAATACAACTTGTTATTTGATTAATAAAGTAATGATTAGGCTCATTTTAAAGAAAACTCCATATGAATTTTCAAAAATAAAAGCCTAACATTAGTTATTTTCATCCTTTTGGATGCAAGTGTTTTGTTTTAAATAACGGAAAATATAATATTGACAAATTTTATACAAAAAGTGATGAAGGAATTTTCTTGGTTATTCTTCAAACTCTAAAGCTTATCGAGTCTAATAAAAGAACTCTAGTGGTAGAAGAGTCTATACATGTTGTTTTCCATGATAATCCCCTTCCAATGAAGGATTCTTGTGATGATGATGATGTAGGTATCTTAAATTCAAATGAAGTTGGTGAATCATCATTGAAAGAAATAAAGAATGAGGAAACTCAAGATGTTCCCAAGAATCTAACTATAATGGAATGGGAGGTATCATACCCAATGGAGTAAAACTATGTCAAAGGTGGTGAAATTTTTGGTAATCCATCCAAAGGGGTAACTACTAGATCTTCTCTTAATAATATTTGTAATTATGTTTCATTTATCTCATGCATAGAGCCTAAGAATGTTAAATAAGCATTAAATGATGAACATTGGATTATGGTTATGCAAGAAGAGTTAAATCAATTTGAGAGAAGTAAAATATGGACATTAGTTGAAAGGCTCAGTAATAAGTCTACTATAGATGCTAAATGGGTTTATAGAAACAAACTAGATGAGAGTGGTAACATAGTGAGAAATAAAGCTAGACTAGTTGCTCATGGTTACACTCAAGAAGAGGGAATTGATTTTGATGAGACATGTTCTCCCGTAGCTAGAATGGAAGCCATTAGATTATTACTTGATTTTGCATGCTTTAATAGTTTTAAGCTTTATCAAATGGATGTTAAAGGTGTTTTTCCAAATGGCTTTATTAATGAAGAAGTGTATGTTGAACAACCTCCCAGTTCTGAAGATTCAAAATTTCCAAACCATATTTTCAAACTTTCAAAAACTTTATATGGTTTGAAACAAGCTCCTAGAGCTTGGTATAAAAGATTATCAAATTTTTAATTGAAAAAGATTTTTCTAAAGAGAAGGTTGATACTATACGTTTCATTAAAAGAAAAGAGAATGACATGTTAGTAGTGCAAATTTATGTTGATGATATTATATTTGGTGCTACTAATGATCTTGTTTGTCAAACATTATCTAAGTTGATGCAAGGTGAATTTGAGATGAGCATGATTGGGAGCTCTCATTCTTTTTGGGACTCCAAATCAGGAAAATGAAGGATATCATCTTCATCAATGAAGCTAAGTACATAAGGGACATGCTCAAGAAGTATGGCTTGGAGAATTTAAAACCTCAAGCCACTCCCATGAGCACTTCAACAAATCTTGACAAAGATGAGGAAAGTAAATGTGTAGATGTTTAATTATACAGGTCAATGATTAGTTCTTTTCTTTATATTACCGCAAGTAGATTGGATATTATGTTTAGTTTTTCTTGTGTGTTAGATATCAGTCTTATCCTAAGGAATATCATTTACATGTCATTAAAAGGATCTTTAGATACCTTAGAGACACTCCTAGTTTAGGACTTTGGTATTATAAAGACTCAAACTTTAGATTGCATGCTTTATCAGATGCGGATTTTGGATGTTGCAAATTAGATAGAAAAAGCACATGTGGTACATCTCAATTCCTAATAAATATGCTAATTTCATTATTTTCTAAGAAACAAAATAGTGATGCATTATTAACCATCGAGGTGGAATACATTTCGATCGATAGTTGTTGGCACAAATTTTATGGAAGAAACAACTTTTAGACTATGGAATTAATGTTGGTACCATTCCAATTAAGTGTGATTAACTAGTGCAATTTGTCTTACTAAGAATCTCATTCATCACTCTAGAACTAAACACATTGAAATTAGGCATCATTTCATTAGAGAACATGTCCTTAAAGAAGATGTAGTTCTAGAATATGTTGATACTTTGCATTAAATAGTTGATATTTTAACCAAGCCTTTAGATAAAGAAAAATTTTGAACACTTAGGAGAGGGCTAGGACTTCTGGCATTCCCTAGGTCTTAGCCCAAACTTTTGAGTTTTTATGATTTTAATTAAGTTGTTGGCTTAAAATTACTTTTCATACATGCTTGAGTGATTCTCTATGGTTATCCAATACAAAAATTAAGGGGGGTATGTATGTCATTTCATGACCTTTTCGAACTTGTTTTGTAATCTTTAAATTTGGCTATGCATGCAAATTTGTGATTTAATGTATTCATGCATATGATAATAGTACTTAAATCTATGCCATATAACTTCAATTGTGGTTCTATATGTTTTCTAACTTTCAATGCTTCCATATATGTTAGAACTATGTTTTAGGTGATTTTAAGAATTTAAATTAGCAAAGTTGCATTTTCTACATGAATAGTATCAAAACTTTTAACAAAGTATCAAAACTTTTCATGAAGTATCGAAACTCCTTAAGAATATCGATATTAACGAAAATAGTTTGCTAAAAAGTACAATTTGGCATTTTTAAATAGTTTCAAAACTATGTCCAAAGTTTTGAAACTCCTAAAGAGTATTGAAACTTGTCACGCGGTCTAGATTCTAAATAGGTTTTAAACCTATTTTTTAAACCCTCCCTTATATCTTTCTCCCAACCGTTCAACCCCTTTCTCTAAAATCCCAAAACCTTTTATTCTCTTTGCTCATCCGCCATTCCTAGTGGTCTCCATCCGTCCGCCAGCCACCTTGGTGTCTCCGGTAATCACCCATTGTCTTGCTTTTAGTTTCTTTATCATTTGAATCATATTTTTCGCATAAACCCATTTTGCCCGAAATTTGTTTTGGACCTTTAAATTTTAGTTGCTCTTTCAAAATCAATATAGTTTCTATTGATTAAATGTTTTACCCATAACGTATCTTCATTATTTCATGATTAATGTAAAATGTTTCAAAAAAATTTGTAAACTAGGATTTTTGATTTTTTTGTAAATATGTGAAAAATATATGTTTTTGATGAAATTGGGTTGCTTATTGCAATGTTATAGATGTGTTTTACATGTAGGAAGGATACCCATTTGTCAATTGTTATTAGAATCTTCGTTTTTAAGTGTGTCTACAAACTGTTCGATAAAAGTCTTGAACCAAAATTCAACATCCTTACCCACTATTTTGTCACCTAAAATGGCTCCCAAAACTTCCCATAAACTCCCTAGAGCCAATACTTCGTCCACCTCGTCCAACTCCTTTGAGTCCCTCTATTTTAAATATGACAAAGATCATCGTAGGTTCCGTCAACATTACGGTAATACACAAATTCATTCAGAACATAAATTTGATGAAGAATTTTTGTTCTCAAACGTTTATAACTTCAGTTTTCTTTAGCTTGTTACCACTTGGGAATAGCTCGTTCTTATATGAATTCCAAATGTCAATTATCCTAATCTCGTTCCAGCCTTCTTTTCTAATGTCACTCTTATTCATGAGGAACATTATCTAAATCTTCCTCCTCTTCATCAAACTGAAAAGGTCATAGCTATCCAATCTTATCTCATGGGTCAAATTATCAAGCTTGTCGTTCAATACATAGCCGATGATTTAGGAATTCTTTATGACAGTCCTTACGGATGAGAATGCTCCCGTCGCTATTGCTCCTTTTCAAGGACACAATCCCACTCTTTCATCATTTGAAGAGCGTCTTTTGCACCTCCTTTTCACTTGATTTCTCCGCCCTTTGAGTAGAAAAGTCACTCGTATGCACGACTTAGACTATTGGTGGATTTATTGTTTCCATTCTCAAACTCTTCCTCACCCGCTCATATCATCTTTATCGAGCTTGTCAATACCATCTCCAAAGGTCTAGGGTTTAAAAACTTCTTACCTTACGCTTGTGTGCTTAGTCACATCTTCACCAAGCTTCGGGTTAACCTTTCCTATGACACTAAGATTCCTCTTTCGAGCCCTATCGACTTTACCTCAGCTCATAAAAATGGGTATGACTTTATCGGAGGTAAATGGGTTCGAATTCATCAAGATTAACCCAAAGAAGCTCCCAGAGTTGATGTCGCACATGGGATTGTTACTCGTCCTCCCATCACTAACACTACAGCAGACTTGGTCTATAGTGACTTTTTTTAGACATATAGCGGTGTTTTAAAGCGCCGCTAAAATAGCTCCCGACGTAAAAGAAAGCACTACAAGAAATGCCAATAATGTGAGCACTACAACTGTTAACAACGTTTATGAAAATAAACGTTGCAAAACGTTTAAACATTTAGCGGCGTTTTGGGAACAAACGCTACAAAATGTTAGGTCAGTCAGCGACATTTTTGGAATAAAAGACGCAAAAGGTTGGTCATTTAACGGCATTTTTTGGAACAAACGCCGTGAAAGGTTAGGTCATTTAGTTGCGTTTGCTCCAAAATATGACAATTGTGTAGTCCATTAGTGGTGTTTTTTACCTTAAAACACCGCAAATAAAACTTTGTTTGCAAATGTTATTTTCTGCTATTTATTACACAAATTTAATATCATGTAGCAATATCCAATAGCAACAACCTTAAATTAAATTACGACTCGAATTAAGTAAAAATAGTTGACATAAATAAATCAAAGTTTACAAACATTCAAGTGAAATGTAATGTACTTAACATCATTAACTATAAATGGAAAGAACACTTTGAGCAATGCAAATTCTAGCCATTGTCTTAGTTAGAGTGTCTTCTTTCATTAGAAAAGTCATCATGTCACCACTAAGAAGATACTCCATGATAGATACTTAGCATCTTGAAAACAATAGTAGGGTGTCTTCTCTCAAACTGGCAACTTATGCAAGCAATTTCCTCTCAGTTGTCACATGTTCAACCTATGTTACATGCTCAATTGTTTGATAAAGCATCGTTAATTTTTTCCTCCGTGTAAACTACAAACGAAAAACCTCTTTATTCATATCACCAAATAAATCCCCTAGCTCCTGATCACCAAGAAGACTCCTTGTACATTTCAATGCTTCACTTGAAACATATAACATCCTTTCACCTGCAATATGAAACAAAAAAGAGAAGCGTTAACTTTCTAAATTGCAAAAAGATTTTAGTTATTAAATAAAAAATTAAAGTAAAAAAGAGAAGCGTTTACTTGGAGTAACAGTAGAGGCACCGTCGTCTTCATCGAGGATAGATAATGTTTTTGCAATTGAAGATTCTTTCAACGCCACGGATTTCCCCAATTCGGTTCTAAAAATCGGGTATTTATCTACTCCACCATCGTTCTCAATAAGCTTCGAAAATCCTGTGTAGGAACAATGAAATTTGAGATAGAGGCGAAAAGATTTAGAGATTACAACCTTTAAGCAGGAGATCGACCATGGAAGGGTGTGGAGCAACTGGAGCTCCGTTCGGGTCATTATTGAGTTTCGACAACAGGAATGGACCAGATGCCTCCCGGCGATAATTTGATCCCGCGTCAGAAAAAATCTGCCACGTGGACATTCCGACTACATATTGCAAGTAATCAACAAGGATATTTACCACCATTTACATTATCACTAAACACTATCAAACTGCTTACAAAGAAAGCAATATAAATAAACTATAAATAAATGATGCATGGTTGTATCTCACAGGAACATTTGCTTAACATGAAATAAGAGAAGCTAAAGGTATATACACAAATTTTAAATCACACAATGGGTTGATTGCATTTACCTTAATGTAAACACAATCTACTAGATTTATAGTACATCCATCAATGTTGAATACTAAAAGATGTTATAAAGCGAGCCAGTTAACTTTCAAGGAAAATAAAGGTAGCCGGTTACCATTGTTTACTTTTCTGCAGTCCAAACCTTTGCTGAACACTCTTCAATTCTCGGATAAATCATTTAGCAGACTTTGTTTATTTAGCAGTCCAAAAGTAATGGTGTCACATTTTCCTTCATGTGTGTTACATCTTTAAAAAAGTCCCACTAGGATTCTGTTAGTGGTGTAAGTTAATAATTTAAACAAATAATAAGATAATCTCTGTTAAACTTTTAAAAAAAAACAACTATAACATGAAACCTTTAACAAATATTAATTGATATAGAAATGCAAACCATGGTCTTGGCACTACGTAATAACAATCAATTCCACACGTACAAAAGGAAATAATGGTAAATAGCGTAACATCAAAGGAGGTACGAGAAAAAGGTAAAAAGGATTCGCAGGGAACTTTTATCAAACACATAAAGATCATTAAACAGGAAACGAAAATATGATTTACAAGACCCTTAAGAACCTGAGCATTGAACGAACTTTTAAAGGAAAAATAAGAAATCCATACCGAAGAACTTTAATGGATTCCCATTTCCATCTTCAAACCCTAAGTCCTCAAATCACCATGCATCTTTGAGCATTGATTAAAAGTTAGAAATAACCCTCACTCCTGCATATACAAAAGCTAAGACCCCAACTTGAAAACTAAAACAACTCCTATTCTCTACTTACAAATCCCACCACAAATATTCTGTCACCTATTTCTATTCCCATCAAGATCCCCCAACTATACTGCCCTTCACCACGCGTTCTCATGTACACCGACCAAACCGAGCACCTACCTAAATGATAATTACAAATTCACAGATACGTAACTTTAAAAGAAGCTATGAAAGGTGGAATGAGCCTTGCCCTTCTGTTATGGCGTATAAGAGTTTCTCTTTCATCTTCTCTTTCGAAGAATATGGCGGCAACTTCAGGTAATTGGCACAAGCTAAGACACTGGGCAGGAGCGTTGTTTTCAGAAATGGAATCTAGATTGAATGAAATTTTCAGACAAATCGGTGTCCATTGAAGAACTACTGCATCCCCATCAACCAACGTTTAAGGGTATTAACTTGAATGAGTTTTTTGAGAAAAATGGGTGTTTGAAAATCATGAGGCGCGATAAGTGAGCAGGAGCGTTGTATTTCACAATAAGAGTACAAAATTAGGGATTTAGAACCGGGTAAGGGATAAAAAACTTCCTATCGTGGCGTTTTAAACATCCAACGCCATAATATATCAACATAAAATATATTTTGTGGCGTTTATTAAAAGACGCCACTATAATACGAAACAATTGCGGCCTTTGGATATACAAATGCCATTAAAATCTGAACACTTCCAAAGTTTCTTTAAAAAACACCACAATAGACAAATCTATAGCAACGTTTCTAGAAAACGCCACGATGTTTATAAAATTCGTAGAATTTGGTTTCAAAAGACCACTACAAACATGTTTTGTTATACTGTAATGAAATGATTTACGATTACATGGTCGGTGAATTCGAGGCCATTAAGGCTCGTCTTAGCGCCTTGGAGGCTCATTTCTCGTATCTTCATCCCTCTCCAGGTCCTACTTCGCATCCGAAGGATGATGATGAAGATAGACCATTTTATTTCATGTTGCATTTAGGATTGTTGGATTTTTCTATTATTGCATTTGAATGTTTATGCTGGATTTCATTTTGGATTTCATATTTTGGGATGTTTTGATTATGTTGAATATTTTGGTTATTTATATTGGATATTTTGGGATGTTATTTATGCTTATGATGGATATATTTTGGCTTATTATATATTCAATTATATTTATCTTGGCTTATTATGCTCTAATATTTTACTCTCTTTTGTAGTAAAACAATTTTGATCTAACAAAAAAGGGGAGAATAGTATAAAAAACAACTTTTGATTAAAACTTGTCGTTTTTGTTTTTGATATAAATTTTTTATTAAAATTTTTATAGCCTCAAATTGTTTTTCAAAGGAGTTAAATGAGAATTTGAATAATATATAATTTGAAAATTTTATGATAAATTTTGAATCAAGAAATTTTTTACAAAAATGTTTTGTTTTATCAAAAAGGGATAGATTGATAAACATAAATGATTTTGATATAACATTAAATATAATCATTTTTGTAAAACTAATTTTAAGTCCCTAAAATTTATCAAATCTTTAAAATGAGTCTTTTAAGTTCAAATTATATAAAAATAATAATAATTCAAATACTTTAGAATAATTTTCAAAGTCTTATATTTCTCAAAATGTCAAAAACTATCTTTTTAAACAAGCATTGATCTGAAGTTTAGAAACTTCTACAAGAGTTTCAAAACTTTCCAGACAGTATCCCAGAAAGTTTTGATACTTTCATTTAGTTTCGAAACTATCTCAATAGTTTTAAAACTTCCCTTAAAGTTTTGATACTTTAGGTCCAACAGTCATTTTTTCAATTGCTCTTTCGAAGAGTTTCAAAACTTTCACCAAAGTTTCGAAATTTTGTGTACATGTAGCCTTAAATGAGCGAATTTAATGCTTCAAAATGGCTCCAAACTCCCTCCAACAACCACAAATGGCTAGAAATCAATGAGAGCGTATAAAAAATGTCTTCAAACAACCAAGAAAAGACAAGAAATATATTCCAACAATCAAAGATTAAAAAGAGCCAAATTCATAGTCCATTTGTCTTTCTTACATAGAACACTATTCAATTCATTGTATTTTTCTTTCTAGTGTTCTTGGGTTTGTGAGAGCTTCAAGTTGCAAACAATATATCATTGTGGGGATTTTCATAGTTTACTCATTTGTAATTTCTTCTTAGGAAAGGTTGTACACTTGAGACTTTGGGGTTACACCAAGGTTATAACAAATTAGTGAATTTGTTAAAATCCTTAGTGTGAAAGCTAATGTAGTAAATGTAGACTTCATTGAAGAAGTTGAACCACTCTAAAATTGTTTGTATCAATTTTTTATTTTCTTGCAAAAAGCTTTCATCATTTTTCTAATTGTCAATTCACCTCTCTCTTGGTCATTCCATTGATTCGATTGACTTAACATTTTTCTTTTTCAAAATTGTACATAAAGTTATGAATTATGATCTTAATCAAAATGGAATTACAAGAATAATTAGGTGAATAAATACTAATTTACTATGTATAAATATGATTCTCTTAATATCTATATGCATGTTTACATAAAACCCTAACAATAAATTCACAACACCGAGATTTCAGAACAAGAAATACGTAAAATTTTCAAAACTTTCTAAAAATTGTCACCTCCGCATGGATCTCTGCACCATTGAAAATGAATTCATAACTAAAAACGGTGATTTCCTTCAAGTATAAATAGGCCATCAGAATTGCACGTTATTCAAGCAACAGCAAAAGCTTCAATAAGAAGCTGCAAATAAATCTTCTTTTTTCTTCCCTTCCTTCTGCTCTTGTTTAGGAAAGGAAGGGAGAAAAAAGAAGTTAATTTATTGTTCTTCTTAGGGTTTTAAAAAGCTGGAAAAAGCTGTTTAAGAATGGCCAACAATGCTCTTTTTGTCGTTGTTTTTATGCTGGCGGTGGTGGCATCGGCGCTAGCCGTGTTTTTTGCCATGAGTGAGAAAAATGTGACAGGGAGAACGTCGACTTCTAGTAAAGCGGTGCAGTCCGTTTGCAGGCCAACGGATTTCAAAGAGACGTGTGAAAAGAGCCTTGAATCCTCCAACTCGAGCGATCCCAAGGAGCTTATAAGGACCGGGTTCCAGGCGACCATAACGGAGATAAAGAAGGTGTTGGCGGATTCAAAGACGCTCCAAGATTTGGAAAAGGACGAAGGGACCAAGGATGCTCTAAGTGTTTGCAAGGAGGTTTTGGATTACGCCATTGACGACCTTGAAGCATCCTTCAACAAGTTGGGTGAGTACGACATCAGCAAGATCGGTGATATCCTCTTGCGCATCCAGGTGTGGCTGAGCGGTGCCCTTACCAGCCAACAAACTTGTATAGACTCGTTCGCGGAGAAAAACGGCGATGCCGCCGAGAAGATGAAGAATATCTTGAAAACGTCGCAGGAGTTAAACAAGAACGCCCTTGGCTTGATGGCTGGAATATCCTCCATTGCTAAAGAACTCAATATCCCAAGCATCGGTAACATCACAACCTCGCTCCAACGTAGGCTTTTGTCGGATGACGATGGTGATATCACCACATGGATGAGCCGCAAAGATCAGATACTCCTCCAGGCGAAACCAGGTGATATTAAACCTAACGTGGTGGTTGCTAAAGACGGAAGTGGAAAATACAATAGCATCGTCAAGGCCTTGGCTGAAGTCCCACCAAAGAATACTCAACGATTTGTTATCTATATCAAGGTCGGAGTTTACAACGAGAAGGTTGATATCCCCAAGGGTGCGACCAACGTTATGTTCATCGGAGATGGTCCGACCAAGACTATTATCACCAATAACATTAGCGTTGTAAGGAATAAAATCACAACTTTCCACACTGCAACTGTAGCTGTCAATGCTAAGAATTTCATAGCTAAGGACATCGGATTTGAGAACACCGCCGGATACGAGGGTGAACAAGCCGTTGCCCTGAGGGCTTCCGGCGATCTAGGCGTCTTCTACAATTGCCACTTCAATGGGTACCAAGACACTTTGTACCCACAAAAGGAAATGCAGTTCTTCCGTGACTGCGTCATCACCGGTACCATAGACTTCATCTTCGGCGACTCTAGGGTAGTGTTCCAGAACTGCCATATGGTCGTGAGGAAACCAGGTCCCAAACAAAACTGCATGGTGATTGCACAGGGTAAACAATTCAATAAATCAAGAGGTGGTTTCGTGCTCCACAACTGTACCATCTCCGGCGATAAGGACTACATTCCGGTGAAGAACATTAATAAGGCGTACCTCAATAGACCATGGAAGCCACTTGCCACTGTCATCATAATCCAGTCCAACATCGCTGACATCATCACACCGGAAGGGTACATTCCGATGCATCCCGGCAAGGGAGAGGCCACTTCATACTTCGTGGAGTTCGGGAATCGGGGACCTGGATCTAAAACCGACGGCAGGGTGAAATGGGCAGGAATCAAGCAAGTAGATTTGAACACGGCCAAGACATTCACCCCTGGTCCCTTCCTCCAATCCAATACCTGGATTCCAAATACCGGAGTTCCCTGTACTCCTGACTGGATCCCTGGCCTGTAAACTAGCATAAGGCCATTTTTATTGTAATATCTTATCATTACAATACATTATTAAACAGCTTTTCTCCTATATTAATTGGCGTTGAAAGTATAATTTTATTATTTCCAAGTTGATCTTCTAACTCGGTCCCTACATTACATGGTTTAAGAAATCTTCAAAATTGATAGTAGTCTGAGCTTAACATTAATATACTGATTGTGATATAATTGTCATTTGAGATTTTGAGATTATATTTTCATCATATCTCAATCAGTATGTTAACATCTAACTCGAAATGTTATCAAAATTACGGATTTAAAACATATAAATAACCGAATGATCATTTTAAAGTCAGAGAACTCAACAAGATAATATCATATAATTAGAAAACAATTTTATAACTTTTAAGATCAAGAGATTCAACAAAATAATATCCAATAATTAAAAAATAATTCCATTAATCAATCAACCAATTAATTTACCGGTAAAATATGATAATATGAGTTCCATTAATCAATCAACCAATTAATTTACCGGTATAATAAGGTTAAAAATTCAATGAATGGTTTGAATTTTAACATGAAAATAAATTTGAAGAGCCAAAAAAAATCAAAATAAATTAATTGAATCAAATCTACACATACACAAAATATTTTACAATCAAATAACAACCCAAAACCTGCCACGTGTACTTTCACTTAATTTCAGATAACCTATAGCCTAAGTGGACTCTCGGTAAGTTAAAATCAGCCACGTGGCGAAAACTTGTTCCAGTGAGTCAGCTATGGGTTTACCGAGTCTCATCGACACCTCGCTCCATATCCGACTCAGCTACAGTCGCGTTTATTGGTGAAGGACAAGGACTTCTCACTGCCTCTCCTGTCTCTACTCAGTATCCTCTTAAACGACAACATTCGACATATCGGTGATTTATAAGATTGACTCGGCCCCGAGTCACACCCACTCGACTCATCTACGAAACCTTCGATGTTCCTTTTTGGGACCTCAGTCGACAACTACCTCCCTAACCCGACTGCCGACGGGACTGCATGTTCATCCTCGTGCTGACACGTGGTACAGAAGTCGGATACTAGATTCGATCCTGATTCCCCGCCCGACCGACTGTTTATCGTAATAACCAAGTCTCCCGGGTTCTCGGACACGGGTACGGATTCTTCAACAGAGGTCCGACAAAGAGGACACGTGGAGTGAGAGCAAAACCCCATCGATACACTACGAATGAAAACTGTGGTTACATTTCAGCAAGACCCGACCCGATTCATCCTCCTCGAATTCCGAAAGGCAAACGGCGCATTCAAGGACGGAATCCGGATGCGTTTTAGAGGAGAAGGTGAAGACGGAGAGCGACTTAAGAACACGCGCGTTGAGACCGCGTGTTGCGGCGGGAGTAGCGTCGTTGTCGACGTAGAAGACGAGTTGAGATTGTCGACAGCGGCGGTTGCGGGAATGGCGGCGGCGAGCGCGGAGAAGGTACCAACGGTTATGGATATGGAGAGCGAACATGAGTACCACCATGAAGAACAAGACGACAATGGCGCTGAGCATGATTTTGCCTCTCAAAGCGTAGCTGCTGCCGCCGTCGCTGTTGTCGTCTACGGGAACCAAATTAGCAGGGCTTTTGTTTCCATCGTTGCTTCCATTCATGGCTCTTCGAAGCTTTTCCTTCTTCCTCTTCGGTTATGGAGGTTCTTCTGTTTGGGCAGTGAGAAATCGAGGGAAATATAAAAAGGGAAAGGAGGGAAAGGAAAGGAAAGTTCTTGAGGATTTCTTAGGGTCTGTTTGTTTAAGGTATTTCATTTTACGGAAAAGGTTTTCCTCCAATTTCAGTGTTTGATTGGAAAAAAGAAAATACGGTCAAAGGAAAAAAACTACAATCAAAGGAAAAAAAAAAGAAATAAAACACGGAAAAACAACTTACCATTTATTTCTTGATAAGTTATTTTTCTAAATTCACCGGTTATTTTCATTTCCCTAAATCCCTTCCTCCTCCGATTCTTTCCTTCCAGTTTCCATCCTTCCCCTTATTTTCCTCTTGTTTTTTTATTCTCCTTTATCCTTGGCTACCTGCCAATAGAAAAATTTCACTTCTTTTCCTGGATTTGTGATAGAATCTTCATAATTTCATGTGATTATTATTTTGAAAGGGAAATCGTTGTTTTTGTTGAAATTTGTTTGATCCACATAATGGATTTCAACTATTTACGGGTTTTTGTTCTTTAATCTCCATGGTAATTGCTCTAGTTATTAGATTTCAAGTATTTGGAAGTTATTAGCTAATGATTGAAAAGATTAACCTTGGCACAATCACGACCATTTGAAGTTTCTTTTTCCGTTTCCTCAACCCTTTTTTTATTTTGATCGAAAGGACTTAGATTCCGTTGGAATTTTTTGGATCTTTACACCCACCAAACGGGGCATGTTCACTCGTATGGTATTGTTCAATTTTATAATTGGTTAACAATTTTGCAGATAGTGCGCTTTTCGATGCTTCCTAATATGCATTTTTTGGTCAAAATGCTTTGGAAGAAGTGGTGTTTGGAGGTCTGGAAGATGGTGAAGAGGAAGCCCCTATATTTGCATACATTGAAGATGATAAGTACCGTTTGTTTGGTAAAAGAGAGGTGAGATTTCATTACTTTGGTTACTAATTGAGCTGCGGATCCTTGTTTTGTTTGCAGTGACACTTCTGCATTGCTCTTGTAACTACTTCTATTTTCTCTTCCATTATATTATGACCCTAAAACTTAATCTTTGTTCGGATTTATTCTGGCCCTAGACCTGTCAACGGGTTTTCTAAATCAACACCTCAAGGGATATCTAAATGCAAGAAGTTGCGCTCGTAAAAATAAAGTTGCAATGGAACATATGATTCCTGCCTATATATGTTCTGTTTATTTATAAACTTTGCAGTGTGATAAATGTCAATAATTAGCCTTTCTCAGTAGCAGTTGTTTATAAGATTTGATATGCATGTTTCCTTAGATAATATTGGTCGTTCCATTTTCACTTTCATACCTTATATGAACTAGTGTGGAACCGGAGAGAGGGGAGTTTAGAAGTGTTGTTTTCAACAAGATGACCTTTCCATTTTTTTCATCTAAAGACTGGTTTGAAGATGGTTGTTTTACCATGGTGTTGGCGGATTGAATATCTTAGCATGCATATGTTCATGTACTTCTGTAAATGTACTTATTTGTTTGTTTTCTGTTGTTCTATTGCTACCTATTTTGCTTTTGTTGTCTTTTCATGGTGATTGGAGGATTTTAATATCTCTTTTTTCCTGCAATTGAACAGGGTTGTCGTTGGACCAAGAAATCCCGGAGTTATTGGTCATAAATCTGGTTCTTTTTCAAGGGAAAATAGTAAAATTAAGTCATGTTTTATGCTTGTATATTGTGGTTATGATCTGTATTAGATAAGTGAAACCATGTCATATCAGTTGATATTTGTTAAAAACAAACACTTTTATTCCACTTTTTTGCTTGAAAATCTTGGGATCAGTTTAGTGTATATGATAATAATTTTATGTATATGCTTAAAAATTTAAGAGAAAAAAAGACATAAACCTACATATTAATTAAACCTACATATGATATTAATTATGAGTTAAAATTTAATTTTAAAAATGCTAATATATAAAGTATAATGAATACTTCAAACCTAAAATTGTATATTTATAACACAATCAACATAATTAATATATTTTCTATAAATTTAATTTCATGTAGTTATACAAATAAAACATTTAATTTCAAAATTTTATAAAATACAATTTTATAAAATAACTTAAAAAATTTAAAATATAAATAACAACAAAAATATAAAAATATATACATTTTTACAAAAAAAAAAAGATTTCGTAAATTATTTTCAGAAAAACTAACCAAACAATATAAAACATTTTTATAATACAGCATCAAAACAATGTAATTGGTTTTCTGGAATTGATTTTCCAAAAAAACAATTACTAACCGAACAAACAGACCCTTATGCTTTGAAATTCCTTACACCTGCTATTTCAGTCTACCAGCTTTGACGCAGGATTCTCTTAATTTACTTCAATGACTCTTACCGTTTAGTGAAGCAGGTCACACAAATCCAACATTATACTAAAAATCGAATACAACATCTATTAATTGATTGATTAAAGATTAAAGATGTTCACATTATTCTGATTAATTTAATATTAATATATATCTTGAAAATATAATAATACATTGACTCATTTAGACTTATTAAAATCAGTTATAAATCTACCTGGGGCATATGCACTTTGCTCCTTAGTGCATACTCATTATTTTAAATAAATTATTGAATATAGTTTAATATATTAACGGAAGGAGAAAAAATAATATAAAAAATGTAAAGTACGTAAATAGTTTCTTGACTATTAGATTGTTTTATTAAGTCTTCGACTATTAAAATTTCAAAATAGTCATCTGACTATAGGAAGTTGCTTTATTGAGTCTATTGACGATTAAAATTGGTCACCCGACTATTCATTATATTCCAAACTCGTCATTTACCGCTAAAAATTTCAATACAGTTTGAGTTGTACATTAACCTGCTGACTGAGATATGAAAATTTTTGATTTCATAATCTTAAACGACTATCATATCTTGATCAGCATGTCAGCATCTAACTCAGATGATCGTAATTTTTAACAGAAAATAATAAATTTAAAACATAATGAATAGTCGAGTGACCATTTTATAATTTTTAATAATCGATGGACTCGACAAAATAACTTCCTATAATAGATAGATTATTTTGTAACTTTTTTTTTTTGGATAAATCGCTTTTATTATATCCAAAAGAAAAACAACCACAACTACATTAAAGGAGTATCAACAAAAACAAGATACTAAAGACCCCATATTGTACATATATTAAGATTGCGAGGGCCTTCCCTATTACCATCCTTATATTGTAATATATCACGAAATAGTAAGCCGTACTAAGTTGAAAATATCAACATCACCTGTAGTTATCCTGCGAAAAATATGACGGTTTCGTCACCCCAAATGAAATACACAAAAACATCTCAGGACAATTTAAAAACAAGAGA